GCAACTCCAAACAACTTTCAATCAAAACCAAAATAAGGATTTTCAATACAAATGTCAAGACAGTTCTACTGTATGGAGCGGAAACTTGAAGAACTACGAAAGCCGTCATCCAGAAGATACAAGTATTTATGAACAGTTGTCTTCACAAAATACTTCGTATTCGTTGGCCAGACACAATCAGCAACAACGTACTGTGGGAGAAAACAAACCAGATTTCAGTGGAGGAGGAAATCAGGAAGAAGCGGTGGAAGTGGTGGATAGGACACACACTACGAAAAGCACCTAACTGCGTCACGAGACAAGCCCTCACATGGAACCCTCAAGGCAAAAGGAAAAGAGGAATGCCAAGCAACACATTACGCCGAGAAATAGAAAACGATATGAGAAGAATCAACAAACACATTGGACAGAACTGGAGAGGGAAGCCCAGGACAGAGTTGGTTGGAGAAAACTGGTTATTGGCCTATGCTCCATTGGGGGTAACAGGCGTAAGTAAGTAAGTAAATAAGTACATTTTATAAAAGATTTGTAATGTGATTAAATTGATGAACTAACTTTATTTTTGAATGAATCAATAAACATCAGATAATTTTATTCAATATTGAGAAGTAAAACATGATACTAATTACTACCAGTCAATATAAACTGATTCTTACATTGGAAACAAACTCTTTAGTTTTTTGCTTTGATTAGTTGTTCAACTAAAATTTTATGAATGAGCAAAATGATCTTCTGACATTGTCCTACCACCATCATTCTCTCTACTTTTATTTATTTAGTGTCATAAATATGTCACATTGACATTGTTGATTTGTTGTTATTTTACAAAATTCCCTAACATCAAAAATAATTTTGTAATAGAATTAAATCTTATACATACAACTTGTTACTAAATCAAAATACAGTATTTTTATGAATAGTTTAGAATATAAATTTTTTATTTGAGACTAGAATTCATTATATTTTTTAGACTGTTTAAAAATTATCGTTTATTTTCAAACTGATTAGTACTTGTGAATAATTTATTGCTTAATTAACTTAGTTAAATTTATTGGTCTGATGATAAATTATTTGTGAACATATTCAATTGACAGAGACAATCTCAATTAAAAAAATTTGACAGAAAAAGTAATAAATAATTATCATTTAAGATAACTCTATAAATCTTGATTATGTTTTCAATGTTAAATTAACTGTTGAAATTAACACATTTATTTGAACTTAATCTAAATTCATTAGCTGCACATACATTCGTGTTTTGTGGTGTTCCAATTAAGATATAGACTCAATAGCGATTGCTTTAAAATATTAATTATTAAAAATTTACACTTTATTAGAACTACTATGAGTATTTGTTATAATTCTCTCTCTTAATACGCCCGACCGAAGCTGCTACCTTGACGTGGTGGTCGGGCTTGACTATCGTGATGACCCAACCGAGCTAATATTGGCTGGAACTTATGTTCCTGAAGGTTCTACCATGCCAGGCAGGTCGATTGGAGAGCGATGAGACTAAAAGCAGCTACCCAAGGTCTGAGGGCGAAGTCGTACAGCTGACTGCAGAAGGGCGGCCAAACCAAACCATGGCAGAAATCCATGAAGTCATTGACAAGTGGACTGAGTCATGTTGGTAGATCTAGGCTACCTGGTTGGGGTATGCGAGACGAAAGTCACCAATGGTTAGAGACCTTGAACGACATTGGCTCAAAATCGTTTGCAATGGCGCAAGTGCATCCATTCTTTGAACTCTCTCAAATCCTAATCTTCTGGATTCGTCAGCACTTCTACCTTTGTCTTTCCTAACTTATCTCACTGAATTATACTTCTTGAATAATATCTTCGAACCCTAGTCTTCTTCATTACCATTAATACCTCTTCTATCTTTATCACTATGGGATTTGATTTGACATTTGCGTCTCTGTGCTAATGTAGTATGGCTACATGAACTTATGTACATACGTACGAAGTTCTACGCTGCAACTGACTGACTGGCTCTCTTAATACGGCTCATCTGTTCCTAATGCTTAGGATTTTCGGACACCAATTCACTCCAGAGACCTTCTCCCAAATCAGAACACGGTTGAACAGGAAATAGAGATTATATTCCAATAACAAAGTTAGATGGAAGTCAAAAGATTCAAACGAAAAAACGTTATTGGTATATTTATAGTTTTCTGACATGAGAAGATTTTAGAATGTTCCCTCAGTATGGACTGCAGCTGATTGGATACGAAAGGGCCAATCAGCATGCAGCGGCACAATCAAGCTTTAATTCATACAATGTCCCGCCGCTAACAGTATTTCTTAGTTTCCATGATGAAAATATTATCTATGATGTGAATATATTTCACCTCTAAGTTCACAGTAATCTAAGATCATCTAAGGTATTTGTCGTGGGTTTTAGTGTATTATTAAATTTGTTACCATAACTATACATTAAGTCAATATTTCAAACATTAATAAGTTATTTGATATGAAAGAAGTGAAAAATAATAATATTTAAAGTAATCAAATAATAACTTACATCTTCTCCAGGTTCACCTATTTCACCTGGATCTCCCTATTAATAGGTATGAAAAAGTTATTTAATAAATATTAATAACGATAAATGAATATAAAATCATAGGATTTGATTAGAAGGCTGTAACAAAACAATTGTGAAAATAATTCTTTATTTTAAATTTTAAAAGAAACTTAAAGGATTGTGTAGTACAGTTTGTTATTTCACAAACAAAATGTTGTTATAAAGTAAACCGACAAGAAGAAGTAGTTTAACTTAGCTTTACTACTTATTAAAGTGCATCAGTAGGTTTTGTCAGAAGCTTTAGAGAGCTTGACACTGTTCTTGAAACTTTGTTAGTCCTTAACTTCAGTCAGTTGACAAAAGGAGAAAGTTGTCAATCTGTCAATTCTTACAGTGTCCGAACACAATGACTTTTCCTGTGTTGAGTCAAATTAAACAGCAAGTTCTATTTCTGGTGGTGGCCCATGGTCATTTACTTTTAGCATGCAATCAAACTCTCTTCCAGACCTAAAGACCTAGAGGTTTACATGATACTACCCATGGTGTCAATTACAGAGCCAATGCAGGCCTTCGTGTAACATCCAATAGTTATCAGAACTATGTGGCAGTCCAATCATCTTACAAAGGATCACTTTCTTTGGCTGTCAACGAAAACATTCTTAGCTCTGATACTTTCACTCAAAATTTACTGATGACGATTCCAGAACTACATCTTTACCTTAGCCACACAAATTCCCTTATCTGTCACTCTTAAACATTAATTACTTCGGGTCCGAAAAGCAACATCCTATTAGACCATAGAAAAAAAATTCCAGGCTCATAAGCCTAATTGGATCACTCAAAAGTATGCAGAAGTATTATAGTTAGCTAACTTTCAGTTTTACTTATATAAATAAACAAATTATTTGATACATAGTGTTCTTATTTGTTTAGAATAGTTAACTGAAGATCCTTAGCCGTCAAATGTAATCAGAATTTTTGTTTGTAAATAAAAATCAATTGTTTAAGTAAACAGTTGGAAAAAATATGTCACACATTGATTGTTGACGCAATGCGAAAAAATGTATTAACTAGTGAAAGTTAATATAGGAAATAGTTTTATATAATAAAAAAAAATGAATATAGTACCTTTTCACCCATTAATCCTTGTCTTGAGCCTCCAGTATATCCTTTAGGTCCTTTAATTCCTGGTTCACCAGGTAGACCTATTATACCTGAGGCACCAGGTTCACCTAGTTCACCATTATCTCCCTAACGGAAAGAAGAAAAAGACAAGTTGTCGAAACTGAGGTAACTAATTTAGCAGAATTCAAAATTTGAAATTGTGAAGAATACATTTGCATATTATTTATCTTACCGGTTCACCATCACACCCACTATCTCCTTTTTCACCTTTCAATCCTTGCATTCCAGGATGACCCTTTTTAAAAGTGTGTATCATTAATCAATTGAAACAATCACTTACTGGATCACCATCATTACCTGGATAACCTGGTTGACCAGGTAAACCCTATAGAAACAAAAGAATTCATTTTTAGTTATGAGATAAAATATGGATATTTATTTAGTGCAAAAAAACAAACTTGAAATAGTCCTTAAATAACTAGTGATTTTGTGGTGGGCGCTACTTATAAGTAGTATATGACGCGAGTAAAAACGTAATGTCTGGCAGCAGAAGATGGGGGAAGATCAAGGAAGGAAAAGAGCGGGAACGCAATGGGATTTGTATGAAACGCATTAATAGTGAAATGTCAGACAATGGATTGATGTTTGGCAACAGGAACAACAGTCCAGTTCGATATGATGGATTGATATTTTGCAAATTCACGATTTACGATATGGTTATCCTATTTTATCAATTAACTGTGTAATTTGAAATGATTTTAAATCGGTTGCCCTGACCTGTGTTCTCCTTCACTACAACTTCACAACATGACAAACTTTACTATTTACTATTCAGTAAATACCGTTTGGTCCGTTTCAGTCAGATGTATTACAGTTCCCGTTTAGAAGTGAACTGATTTTCTACTTTAACATTCAATTATTTGACCAATTTTATTTGGTGACATTTACGAACAAGCTAATTGACCCTACTCATCAATTTTGACGAAGAATACTCTTTTGTTTCCAAAGTCGGTTATTTTTTTTTGAAAAACAAGATATCTAATAATAATGAATTATTTTACACGTCACGTGTGACAGATATAAAATAGTGAATGGCAAGATTTCTCATCATATAAAATGTATATAAAAATATATATATAATATGTATATACAAACCTTTTCGCCACTTGGTCCCAACACACCAGGGATTCCTTGTTCACCTTTCTCACCTAGAGCTCCTGGGAGCCCAACAGGACCTATATCACCTGGAGGTCCTTCTGAACCTCGTACACCTATCGGACCAGGTTGTCCCTGTTTAAATTTGTAAATTCGTAAAATAAGTAACAATTTATTATTACTTCTAATTTCAATAATGATCAAAGTAATAATAGCATTCAATGAAATAATTTCGATCAGAATTTCAATTAAGTGCTGGAATTTATCAGAATAGTTTTATAAGAGATGATAAATGTTCCATTATAAACTATTCAACGAAATAATCAAAAACTAAAGAAACTTTATTCTGTAGACATAAACAACCTAACTGAGAAAATAAGATTTCACTTATTTAGATATAAAGATCATCCAGTCAACTTGAAAGTTTATATTCATTGGAATAAATTGTTACGAGTTCTTGTTGAAAAACAAAAATAAACAAATCCATTAGATTGTAGTGTGTCGGTTTTTCGTCAGTATCAGGAAATATCCTGATCACGTCGGGCAGCTTTGTGATGAGTACGTTAGATATCACGTCGGGCTCACCAATTTGTAGTGTGCCGATTTCGAGGTGTTCTTACGTTTCGTAATTAGCTCGTTCAGACAATCGTTACTAAATGACGTCTGACGGCTAATAAATCAGAAGATGAATTCGAAGTATCGTATACGTTTATTGTGGCACACCACAATAAAGGATAGCAGACCACAGACAGACCGGACAGACACACTAGCGAGCGAATGTGCGAATGGTCGAATGAATTAATAAGATTAAAATGTTCGTATATATACATAGGAAAATGTCTGAGTCATCGTGATATTTAAGAGATGAATATTAAAGCGAATAGGATGTATATGCGCGTACGCGTTAAGCAATGCTCAGTCATACCAGCTCATATAAACCACACAATAATAAAAAACAATGGTACATATAAATTGTTGCTACGTGAATGGCTTGGTTAAATAAATTAATCGAAAGGGCTTAAGCAAATTATATGTTAGCGGATGCAAATAGATGTGGAGGCACTACAAGATAAGTTAAACACTTAATTTGAAATACATATAATCACTGTTCTTCATTTTGAGGTAATCGCCAGTACTTCAAAAAAACTGTCTTTACCTTTCGACTGACACTCATTCATAGACTGTCACTTAAATTTGAAGGAGCTAGTGTTTTTTCCAAAAATTAAGGTCTTTGTCTTTATGTGACGCAGCGATGGATTTTTCAATCTGTACTGATCAAATTTTATCCATCAAATATAATGATAACTCTTGTCGGTATCACAATTTCAACCTATTATCATCAACAATAAATAAAATTCACTGAAAATCACAATCGCATTGTTACAAACTGATTTCATTTTGATTAGGAACTAAAAGAATGTTCAATATTTATCAAAGCATATGTTAAGTAATATCTAGCAAACAACTAAATTTAAGTAAAGTCAATGAAATAACTTGAAATACTTTGTTATCTAACAGATGAGCCTGTTGTTGATCAATTGTTGAAATCTGCTACTTAAATAATGACTAAAAGCCTACTTTATTTGTAACCATGATACCTAGAAGCACTGGACGGCCGTTTCGTCCTAACATGAGACTCACCAGCAGTGCATCCCGCAGGATTCGAACCCAAGACCTCCGGCTTTATACGCGAACGACTTAACCGTTAGACCACTGAGTCGGTATCTAACGGTGTTAATGACTAACTTGATCAAGTTCACGGAGTTGCGCAACCTCATACCCTGTATACATCCGAACAGGTTTGAACTTCACTGGTCACGACTTCCCACTAGAACTCGGAGAAGATTCCTCACGAAGCTAGTCACTAGTGGACACATGTCATTGCATTGCGGGGTTGTTGTGAAGATTGTTAAGTTTTATTTTTAACCGTGAATCGATGATCAATGTTAGACCACCATTAGAAACCTGGAAGCACTGGACGACCGTTTCGTCCATCATCAGTAGTGCGCATCCACGATTCCTGCACCCCGCAGGATTCGAACCCAGGACCTTCGGTATTGTGCTTCCAAGTTTCTAATGGTGGTCTAACATTGATCGATTCATGGTTACAAATAAAACTTGACAATCTTCACAACAACCTCGCAATGTAAAAGCCTATTTATTATTTAATGGATAAGAAATTTTCAACATTTTATTAATCCATTAAAATATTTATGGTTCTAGATAATTCTGGTTAACAATGTTTAATTATCAAAAAGTTTGTAATTGATAAACAAAAATTTCTAAAACGAAATCGTGCATAAAAAAAAAGATTAAGATTTACCTGTATTCCTTGTGGACCGACACACTGACATTTTTCTGGTGCACATACTATTGCACAACGATCTAGATCAGATTGCTAACAAAATAAAAGTAAAAGAGAAGTAAATGTAGTGAATATCTATCTATCTTCTGTAATGGTAGAGATTGTAAAAATGATCAAACCATATAATATAATTGAACTAGTCACATAATATAATAAGAGATGGATAATAGCTAGAGCAATGGAATCCAAGACACTCGTTTTGACTTAAGCAGGATTTGTCAACCAGATGCACCTGCATCCCATATTTGATATCTACTAGGGGACTCAAACTCAGTACCGTTCGCCTCAAGCACTATCTCTCGTAATCCACTTAGCTGCTGAGTTCAGACCGCTTGTGAAATTAAATGATGAAGTTCAATTGAACTGGTAACACAGATTGGATACATTGATCTCAGGATTTTATTGAACAACAATTATTATTGATAATAATTTATAGAAATTTTTTACGTATTAAATACATTAAACTAAACACAGTGGAAAATATTGCACTGATAGTCAGTGAAAACGACTCCAAGAACTTATCCAACGGAAGATTAGGAAGTTCTTGCAGCAATCAGACTACTACTAACTGATATTTTCAATGTAATAACATAAGGAAAAATAATTCACTTATTGATCAAGACACTAGTATTGTAAAGAAAAACGATTTCTGTACAGAACACTTTTTCAAACATTTTTTTTTACTTTACGGGGTTGTGAAGATTATTAAGTTACACATTTTTGAAACCATGAATCGATTAATGTTAGACCACCATTATAAACTTGAAAGCACTGGACGGCCGTTTCATCCTGGTATGGGACTCCTCAGCAGTGCGCATCCACGACTCCTGCACAGCACAGGATTTGAAACATTTTTCATCCAATCATCTGTTCAAATCATAATCACTGCATTTTTATTCTGATATTTTTTTTCTCTAATCGGATTTTCGTATTTTACACAGTTTTACTTCAGTTTCAGTGAGTTTTTATTCAAAAACTAAAAAAATTTTGATTGATTGTAAACTGAATTTTCACGGCAAAAAAAATGCTGATCCTTTGTCATGTACATAATACTGTAATTCATTTTTATGTAGAAAATGCTGGAAAGTTTTAGTTAATAAAAAAGAATAGACTTATACAAAAACTCAGTGCATAAAAATGTAAATTTTAATAACATGTATCATTCAAAATAATTGAAATCTACAGAATACTTTTTTTTACAATCGATTTTCATTTTCATATTGTACTGCGTTGTTTTTACCCAGTTTTACTAATTAATACACATACTACAATCATTGAACATTGATCGGTATTAGAAGTTTATGGTAAAACTAATTAGAAAATGAATGAAATTTTATCTTTGTAACCGATAGGTATCAATCTGTCAATCCTCACAGTGTCCGGGCCGGGTGAGTTTTCCCGTGTTGAGTCGAATTAAACCGCAGGCTCCACTCCTGGTGGTGCCCTTCCGTCAATTCCTTTAAGTTTCAGCTTTGCAACAATACTCCCCCCGGAGCCCAAAGACTTAAAGGTTTCCCGGGGACTGCCCGCGATGTTAATTATAGAACCAACGCGGATCGTCAGTTGGCATCGTTTATGGTCAGAACTACGACGGTATCTGATCGTCTTCGAAACTCTGACTTTCGCTCCTGATCAATGAAAACACCCGAGTGAGCAACGCCGTTATTAGGAATCGGGTGCTAGGTAAGAATGGCAGATCAATAGATGAAGTAATGAAACTTCATCAGTTGAGGTGGTTGGGACATGTGTTGCGTATGCCTAACCACCGACTGCCTCGACGAGCTTTGTTTTGTAGTGTAGGAGTAGGTTGGAAGAAAGTTAGGGGCGGCCAAAACAAAACATGGCAGAAATCTATGCAGTCATTGACGAGTGGACTTAGCCATGTCGGTAATTGTCGACTACCTCGTTGGGGAACTATAGAGACTGGACACGTTTTACCATTACTACATGAACAGTTCGGCTCAATCTTGTATATATATATATATATATATATATATATATATATATATATATATATATATATATATATATACATTATCTGCGAGAAAAAGTATTTAGATATTGATTTTATTCACATATTTTTCAATTCATATGTATCGTTGACCATTATTGGATTGCCAGTTTTCCCTCTGAGGCGAATGTACTTTAGTCAAGAACAAAGTTTGACTTCATTTACAACATTGTTACACTAAATATATGTTTTTCCTATATAAATAATCTGAATCGTTACATTACTCAGCAATAACTGTAGTGCAACCGCACAGGTACCTGATACCCTGGTGGATCATTCACACCGTTTCATATACACACAGTGGTATACATATTTCATAAATAAATCATAAAAAAATAAATCAACTTTAAAAAACATTCACTTCAGTTATTAAGTGATGATTGTAAACTTTCAAACAGAGAAACTAAACTGATGACATTACTTTTTAAAAAAAGTATACATATATTTATATACTACTTATTAGCTGGAAGATATAAATTTTGAGATGGTGGAGAAAACTTGTAGCTCAGGTGGATGATTGTGGTGGCGTTTCGTTCTCTGAGCTGGTTGTTTTGGTTGTGGAGCTTTCATTGTTCTTCTGAACAACATCATCAGAACAAACTTCTGATAGAAGTGAAGCATTCGAATTTCTCCGCGTTTGACCTGTAGCTTGTTCTGCTAACCTCGATCTTGACTGGTTGTTGTTGACTTTTGACCTGTCGTTGTTTCCAACTTTGTTTTGATTGCATCCCTCTTTTGATCTGTTTCTTGATCCTGTGTTGATAAATTGGGTCAATGTCGATGTGTTTTATTGATTGCTAATTGACCTGAGTGCCAAGCTTCTAAAAATTCTCTAGTGTTCTTTGTCCTCCCCCTATCCAGTATTTCCACATTGTTCCAATCAAATGTGTGTCCATAATTGTCGGTGTGTATTGATATAAGCGAAGCGTTGTCGTGGCATTTGACTGCTAATTGATGTTCACGTAAACGGAGCTGAAGAGGTCGTCAACTTTGTCCTATGTAGTGTTTTTCACAGTTTGAGCAATTTATTTTGTAGATGATATTTGGTTTTTCTTCATTTGTCATTTTGTCCTTTGCTCTACATAGGATTGATTGAAGAGATTCTGTTGGTTTGTGTGCCACACCTATTCCAAATGGTTTCAGTAGTCGTGCTGTATGCTCCGATATGTCTTTGATGTATGGTAGGATGATGCGTTTATTTGTTCCTGTGCTTGATTTCGCTTCTGATGATGGTTTCGGTTGATGTTTTCTGATGAAGTTGCGTGGATAGCCGTTCCACCATTTTTTAGTCAATTTACATACTGTTATTATCGTTCATTGATGATGTTCGATAAATTTTTGATTAAAAATGTCATCACATAGTAGTACATCTTCAATTAAATTCCTTTTTTGTTATGTTTTTTTATAAATTAGTTTGATTATTCAATGTCTAAATGTAGACCAGTAAAGTTTAACACAATTAATAGACATATTAATGTGAAGTTACTACATCAATTGATAACCTCTTTTGTTATTATCTTCAATATTTGGTTTGCGTAATATATAAATGAATACTACTTAAAAAGAATACTACTTCGGTAGAATATGAAATGTTACATATTCACATATACATGACAGAATTAAAAAGTGGATTTACACAGTAAAATGTCACTGTCATAAAACCTTGACACTTAAAAAGTCGGGGGATAAGTTTGATTATTTATTTTTCTTTACAAGAAGAGAATTAATCTTTTTTTCTTTTTCAGATTTAAATATATATTTGGTGGTTACAATTATTTTGAATATTCAACGTAATAAAAATAGTTTGTACAATACTGTAAGGTTTATATTGGAAAATGTAAACTATCTATCTAACAATCATGACATTTAATCATATTTATTGTAAGTAAGTAAGTAAGTAAGTAGTTGAAAAAAAATGAAAATGTTACAAAAGTATATCTATCTTGAATTGTACGTGTAGTAGTTTCAGAATTATAGTGTGGTGTGTGCTACTTATATGAACGATATAAGTAGTATAAGAAGGGACGTGAAAGAAGAAGTCTCACGGTCAGAAGAGGAAAACGGAAAGCAAATGGAGCAAAAGCAAGAAATGAACGGAATACCAACAGGAAGGAAAGGAAGCAACAACAGGAATGGAAGAAGAAGGATGGAGTGTTGGAAGTCACGACTCGAAGATGGTGTGCAAATAGAGGAGTGTTCAATGTAATGTTTTCGTTTTTAATTGAATAAGGGTGTAAATCTGCATAATACAATCTTCCGCGCCTGCCTCAGTCTTCTCAATAGCAGACTAGTATGTACAGTGTTCCTATAAAACTTTCGTCTTAATAAAAGAAAAACTGAAATATCAACAGTATTGACAATTTTAATTACGCTACTAAAAATTATGATGCTACATTAACTGACAAAGTTTTTCAAACTACATAATGACTAGAAGAAGAAGTAAAAAAAAGAACACCTTGAACGCATCTCATCTAAGTTAGATAGAAGATGACTTAATCAATAGTTAGACGTAAATTTTCAGGTTGATTAAATGCTAAAGCAAATGTTGGAAATCTGCCTTCTGAGTAGAATAAATTCATCAGCAACAACTTACTGTGGGAGAGAACAAACCAGATTCCAGTTGAGGATGAAATCGGGAAGAAGTGGTGGAAGTGGATAGGTCACACACTATGAAAAGCACTGAACTGTGTCACATGAAAAGCCCTCGCTTGGAACCCTCAAGGCAAAAGGAAAAGAGGAAGGCCAAAGAACACACTACGCTGAGAAATAGAGAAAGATATGAGAGGAATGAACAAACATTGGACAGAACTGGAGAAGGAAGCCCAGGACAGAGTTGGTTGGAGAAAACTGGTGGGCGGCCTATGCTCCATTGGGGGTAACAGGCGTAAGTAAGTAAGTAAGAGTAGAGTAAGTTATAGATACAGTAACGTTTTATGAGCTTCATACTTTGTTATCAAATGAACAAATACAACATTAAATATTTTTTTATCATTGAAAGGTTCATGCTTGAATTGTTTAAACATGTTTCTAGGGTACACTTGTGAAGTGGCGTTAAGCTTCGCCTTTGAAATGAATATAATTCATAAGACTGATTTACGGTTTAAACAGAGACTAGTTAAGTATCTACTGAAGAAAGTAGAATGTTGTATATCATCGGTGTTAACATTTAACAATTAATCAATGATGGTCATTTTTCAAATTTATTTTAGAAATAACTTTAAAACAATACAAAGTATTAGGTTAATTAACTTTTCAACAGCTGATGTCAATAAGTAACATTTTAAATTATCTACCGGGGGAAATTAACTTACTGTTACAATTAAAATTAATTAATTACGTTTAAGTCATTTTAAAATATTCTGTCACTTCTAAAAAGGAATTACTTATGTAAAAATTTAAACAGTCTGTCACTAAAGTATATTGAAAAAATTATGTATATATATATATATATACGCTGAAGATATCCATTAAGACATTCTTAATTACAGTTGTCATTTAGTTAGGATGAATTAATTTCAAAACGACATGTTCAAAATCCAATGCGAATTAATTTCGATCATTTTTAAAACTTGTAAAAATATTGGTCAAAACTTATAAAATATTCCAGCGTATGTAAACATTTTAGTGATAACAATTTATTACATAATAAAGCTGTAATGCTCATCAATTGATTTGCTTGATCTATTAAGAGTTCACCTTAGCCGGTAAACGAGAGCGAAGATAAATGATCCAGTGACTCAAAGGCTACTCTGATCCGACCGTCCCAAGGTGCCACAAAGTAGAGGAAGAAGTCTTAATATGGCAAAGAAAGTGCATTCTACAAACACCCAGAAAATATGATGTTTTTAAGCACACAAACTGAGTTTATTCATGCATCATAGGAACGTCCTTGAGAGAGCCACAAAAACGGCATAAAAAATAATACATTAACCAATAACAGTAAAGGATGGGAAACGAAATCTCAAGGTCAACTGATCAGCCCATGTGCGAAACCACAAAATTCAAATTTAGGACCTGAATCAAGTGCGTTCTGGGGATCTAACGTCTCCAACAAAAGTAAAGATCAAACCTAATCAATGTTTTCTGTTATTACATTGAAGGATCGTATGATTCACAATATACAGTTGAAGATAATTAAACATCAGTTGAAAATAGAACTGAATTATTTTAATTAGTAATGACAACAATCTAACTTTGACTAAGTCGGTATGCTTTATTGGAAGATAGATTGTTGATTTTTGTTTTATTTTGTAGAATCATAACACCGATTGTTAAGTTGTAAATAATTGCATTCACATGGCATTAACAAAATACCCGATTTTGTCGTTAATCTGTTAAAGAATGGTGCTTTAAACTGAAGACGTTTGCATAGTTAGTTATTAACTTTGAGGATTTTGGTGACTGTGTTGAATTTTACAGTTGATATCAGGCATTAAATTGTGGTTAGACAATAGCTAGAAACCAGGATTCATTGGAGAGTTAGTTGTTTCGTCTTAGTATGTGACTTCGTGATATTGCACATTCATAACCCCTCGAAGAATTCAATACAGAACTTACAGGCTATGCTTTGAGTATTTGAACTTTCAACCTCCAAGTCGTCTATATATCTAACTTCAATCAATACGTTATGCTTTGTTACCAACTCACACTGACATTCATGAGTAACTGCTGCACAGCAGACAAAGTTAAATTCTACCGGTTACACATTCTCAATAAAACTAAGAATTATTTTTTCCACATTAGTCTGTAGTGTGTAAACGATTATTATCAGTATACAAGTTTGTATAGATAGTTCAGTTTTAAAGTTTACATTAAAGACTAGCTTTACATAATTGTATGATCAGTTTATTTCATTCTCAAAAATTCAATAAACTGAAATATTTCATCAAAATTTCTATGATTACACTATTAAAATTGAACCGGAAGTTTAAATGAAATCATTTTCTTTTGAACTTAACCTATGATGTAATATTATCACAGAGTTTTCATAATCTAAATGACATTGTAGTTATAGTATAATTAACAGTTATGGATAGAATGAAATTTCTAACAATTTCATAACAAATAATACACATACTAATCGATTGGTCATTATTAAGTATTGATGATGTACATTTATTCATACAGTTTCAAAGTCAGACAGCTTTTTGAAGGAAAAAAGTGAATTCACAAAGAGTTACTTACTAATGCAATGATCACCACATTCCACAGAACTCAGCACACTCTTTATATATATATATATATATATATATATATATATATATATATATATATATATATATATATATATATATATATATATGGCTCAAAATCGTTTGCAATGGCGCAAGTGCATCCATTCTTTGTGTTCTCTCAAATCCTAATCTTCTGGATTCGTCAGCACCTCTACCTTTGTCTTTCTAACTTTATCTCACTGAATTATACTTCTTGAATAATATCTTCGAACCCTAGTCTTCTTCATTATCATTATCACCTCTACTATCTTTATCACTATGGGATTTGATTTGATATTTGCGTCTCTGTGCTAATGTGGTATGGCAACATGAACTTATGCACATACGTACGAAGTTCTACGTTGCAACTGACTGACTTATATATATATATATATATATATATATATATATATGCTAAAAGAAATAAAGTTGATTCTGTGACTAAATCAATGAAACTATTAAACTCAGTATTACTGAAAACAGATTTTAAGTAGATTTGGAAATGCTGTTTAAATAAATGACTCAGATTAAATAAGTTTTAACTTACAACAAAGCCAAGTCTATTTTAAAAGGTCTTCGCTACTTCTCAAAAAATTAGTTTAGTAATCATGTTTCTTACATGGTGATATAACAACCATTAAGAAAGCACTACTCTACTTGAAAAATCTTCAGTGAATAGAAAACATGCTGGTATATATCATTGATATGATAAGTAATAAATAATATTTTGTTCATAACAAACAGAAACTTACAGAATTCACCAATTGAACAATGACTAAAAGACATAATCCAATTAAATATATATACGGTTGTAATGAGTTTCTGAAAGTAAGTAAGAAAATCAGAAAATGAAACAGATATTTTCATAAAACAAAGATACTAACAATACTTACTATAAGACAATTGAATAAACTTTGTTCACTATGAGGTTTCAGATGTAAGAAAAATTTATATAGATTAAAACATGAAGCATTTCAATGGGTTTACTTAGTAAACCCATATTCGCTGAAATTAAAACAGAATTCTAATATTCAATATCCGGATCAGTAGTTATATCACAGTTAAACAAAAAGTAGAAAGAGAATGGTGAAGGTTTTTTTTGTAGCAACAGTTCACCAGGATATGTTGGTGTCGATGAGAGACAGAAAAATTGCATACATCAAGCTAAATTATGTTATGAAACAGAAATTTTTTGGACAACTCAAATATTATTGAACGCAGTTTTCACAAATAAATAAATTGGAACAATACAAACTGAAAGTTGTGAGATAGAGCTGTTAAATGTATGCTACTACATCAGTGGATTCAAAGATGCAGCGTAAGATATTAAGAGTGGTAATACTTACCATAAGATGTTACTTTTTATTTAATTTACTGATACAAAAAATCAAATCATTGTTATTATCCTTAGTATCAATACCGAATTCTTCAAATCTAACCTTTTATGGTGCGATGACTGTGTACTGCAAAGTAATTCTAAACTAGAATGAAAGTGATGTCCTTCATTTTTTGCTTTTTAAAGACTCTGCAACTAACATCATTTGCTGTTACAATGTGCATTTAAAATATGTAAAATCTTTACAAGGCTAATAAACTCAATAAAAATATAATGTAATTATTATACATGTAATTGTAAACGTTTAGCTTCAAATTGTACATTCTTCAAATGATCAATAATGGGAATATTACAATTAGGATTTAACTGAAACAATCGAATCGTAAACATAGTTCAAATAAATCATTTCAGAAATTTTAATTTTTTTCAGTCTTAAAATACTAAACTATTTAGTTAACTTGCTTACTTAACTTGCTTACCCATAGAAAGTACACATAATAAATATATCTTGTGGTTTGTAAACATGATATATGTTTGATCATTTATGAGTTTCATTTTAAATCATTGAATTAATTAGTGACCCTTTTCTTTAAACTTACATTCTATCCAGGTCATCATTATAGTTTTGAGTGAGGAAACGAAAACATTATGTTTTATTTCATCTACAGATTCATAAAAATGTAATAATTGACTTATTCTTTTTAAAAAAAATTACAAAACAGATTACTATATTAATAGTAATGATAGTAGTTAGCATTGATGAATATAATCTGAGTGAAATAAAAAAATAATTCATTCACATCAGTTGTTGAAGAACGCTGGAAGTAATTGTCTTGACCTTGACAAATTAACTATTACACACCTCTTCAGAATCAAGGTGAAATATAAAATTAATTTCTAGCTAAAATAGAAATATAAAAAAACTTTTGTAAAATGATAAATATGCATCGTTTTTTTTTCTTTCGATATTGACACAAATTGAAGAATACTTTTATTATATTTATTGATTTTCTTTACAGTTTAAAGGCAGTTAATTTTTGTGATTTAAATAAACAATGCAAGATTTTACCATATATATATTATACTCTAGAAAATTCATTTATACATTAAAGCAATACAATGGAAACTTTACGTTAAAAAAATTAATTTATTCAAATAAACTTACACTTTGAATAGAACATGAAATTTGAACATTATCACTTACACAACCATAGAATAATAATAATGAATGAATTTATTGTCTCAATGGTTGTCTTCAATGGTTGAAGAAATTTTTGAATATACTATTATTAATCCCAACAATGAATTCGTTGTATTTATGTGAGTATAAAAAAAACAAAAGAACTATATCGATGGAAATAATTTTAGAGTAGTTGTAAGATATTGAAATGAATATAATCAAATAGAAATTAGATGTCAGTGTTTTTGTAGTTTTGTGTCACATATATCCTGATAAATAATCGATTTAACTTTAAATCCCCATGACCTGATCGTTAATATACTGTGAAATTGGTAATGACGTTTGCATGTATGTACTTATACACACATGTATCTATAAATATTTATACATACATATATATATATATATGTATATATATATATTTATTTAAATGCTTGTATCACTGATCATATTTGTGGGAGTGTATTTTTCTTTCTGTTCGCATGTGTGTCAACTAACATATGTGCACAGTGTTATGTATATATATATATATTCATCTACAGTTATGCCCGTTTGCGTTAATTGACCTAGAAGCAGGCACACAAATATGCATGTTGATACTTTCCTTTATATTCTTTCTTTTACTGCTACAGCTTACAGCAAAAAGACTATCACATAGGTTAGATGTAATACTACTCATTGAAGTTTTATAGAACTTTTTTTTCAGTTGAAAAATATGATGTTATAAAATGTCACGATTGCAAAAATAAATATAAATGTGCATTTGAACTATCTAACAATTTATGATTCACTTATTAATTACTTTATGGTGCTACAACCTTTATGAAATGAAACAACATTGAAAATAGACAGAGAGAAAAGGGAAAAGTGCTACAATTGTGCCTGTCTAGTGTACAGCATAAAGTAAATTTTATAGCCCTACCAATCATTAAAGATTTTATGTCCTCTCCTCATCTGTCTAATCTATACCTATTGTGTGAGTGTACACAAAAACAACAGTAATAATAGTAGTAATAATAATAACAATGACGACTGCCCTATTCAGTTATTATGTCTGACCTTATATGGTTGTGTATATGGTTGTATATATGATACACTGAAAATAAGGTAATAAGTATATGTAAGATTTACATCGGTAAACATTGTAAGACCGGTTTCAAGGTGAACAATATTAAATATGTTTGCTTAAATAACATGAAAATGTTCAAAATAATCTATTTCTTTAAATACATGTGTACTACTAGCTTCTCTTTGTTAAGTAGTATGAAATCACTGGTATTTGTTACATTTTAATCACTTGGAAAAAGATGACAACAGTAACTGACTGAGCTGAAATATTTTCACTTTAATCAAGAAAACAGTAATATATAATAAATGCTTTACGGGGTTGTGAAGATTGTTAAGTAACACATTTTTTTTTGAAACCATGAATCGATCAATGTTAGAGCACCATTAGAAACCTGGAAGCACTGAAACACGGCCGTTTCGTCCTGGTATGGGACTCATCAGCAGCAGTGTGCATCCACGACACCTGCACCTCGCGGGATTCGAACCCAGGACTTTCGGTATTATGCGCAAACGCCTAACCATCGGACCACTGGGCTGGCATCTAATGGTGTTAATGTCTAACTTGATTAACTTAAACTGAATTTGATGGTGTTATGCAGTATTTCCAGTAATAAAAATGCATAAATTCTAAGCAAATTAGTTTTAAGTGCCTGTATAGTTAGTAAATTATTATATCACGTTTCATACAAACTCATTGGTCTACATTTATTCTTCTCATCATTAGAGTGACCTTATGACACTTTAGTTCTTAGATTAATAACAGAAGTTCAGGTGACATAAATACAATAATTTGATGCCCGATGGAAAAATCCTCATGCCCTACTCTTCAGATTTTATGCATTTGACTTCTAAAATTTGGATGTAGAGGTTTGTAGAATCATTCATTAATTAGGCTGTAAATCCTTTTCACTTTTTCAAGCTTGTTTAGACTCTATCACTACGATGTAACATTTTGTTCCAAGTTTTGACATTTATCCTTAGGCCATCCCTTATGATGTGACTAGATACTTCGGCTGACGTTTTGGGTGAGTCGGAGAATGAAAGAGTAAGTAATTGCTAGTTTCAATCTGGAGACACAACTATGTATTAGGTTTCACTAAACAGCACTCATTGTACTAGTCGTAACAGAACAAGTGAATTTTTGTAAAAGAAAATATTATCATATTTATGGTTTTGTACAATTGTTTTTATTGTTTTGACTAAAGAAGACTCGGCAAAATTATTGGATTATACATGTATATATATCTGAGAGAAAAAGTATTTAGATATTGATTTTATTCACATATTTTTCAATTCATATGTATCGTTGACCATTATTGGATTGCCAGTTTTCCCTCTGAGGCGAATGTACTTTAGTCAAGAACAAAGTTTGACTTCATTTACAACATTGTTACACTAAATATATGTTTTTCCTATATAAATAATCTGAATCATTACATAACTCAACAATAACTATTCAAATTATGATAGAGTGATTAGAAAGTAAGAGGTGTCTGATATGATGTGTTGGGAGCCGCAAAATTTCCTTTCGAAAAAGTCTGTAGAAGCCCAAGGACGCCAGCAGAAAACTCATCCAGTTAGCATTGTAAACTATTTTCACAAAAACATTTGGAAAATGAGGAATCACGTGTCACGATTCTGACTGGGTATTTAGCCATACCATTACTATATTGAGTATGGTTCTCTAAAATCATAGAAGCCCAAGGTCATTAGTAAGCCTATATATACCTTCATTCTTTTGTAAATAAACTAACCCTGGAGTAAAGCATTCTTAGTGTACTTCGTAATTTTTGTATTGTGGTCAAATTGTTGCGTAGATTTAGCCTGTCCTAATGAAAAGCAGTTAAGAATCAGATCTTGCATTTATTTAGCAGATTTAGTGTGATACATTGAAGGTATAAATCTATGCAATAATTTAAAACTACTTTTTTTTATTCAATAAGATATTTTATTTCTTTATTCGGCCTTTATGTGCTATAGGTCACAGTCTTTGAAATGAATTGCTAGCTTCCACAAAGAAACCTTTTTGAATAATTCAAAAACTATTCATCTGTGATAAATATCCATATGAAATCTGTGAAGAACCAAAGTTATATGTTAGATGATGGGTTTAGGTTTCTACAAATTTCTGATTAATTATTGAAGTGAAAACAACTGACTAATGATAGTTCGTACCAGTCTTGTTTGGTACATGTGCATCCTTTGAGGATTGCCACGATATTACCATTAAGTCACAAGTATTAGTAGCAGAGATAGAAGATGGCAAAGACGGAAGTTGTGTATTGGATTCCATTGCTAGCCAGTGTCCATTTCTGCTAAGAATACAAACTAACCTGTAACACATAACCATATGTATGTCCAATAAATCGGATAGTAATTTTAAAACGAAGAGCTGCAAACCTCAGGCGATAGGTTACATGTCTGTGAAGTCAATGTGCATTTACTCCTAATATCCGTTATATGTGCTATCTCTAGCATTTTCCGTCAAAATGAGTTTTCAAAAAATAATTTTCACTTGAGATTTCATTTCAAAACTCTAATTTTCACTTAATTAGCTTGCTATTTCACATTCAGAGATTTGAAATGTGCTACAGTCACACTTTCATCGAATTTGTATATATCGATCTGTGTAATAAAAATTACATTCTTATTTGCAGCAATAACAAATGAAATAGACAAAGAGTGCTTGAAAATGCTAGGTGTTGAACAGTAAACGAAGAATGGTGTTAATCTCATACATTACTTTAATTTAAGTCTTTGAGATCTTTGAAAATATTGCTTTAATTAATTTCAATAATATTTATTACTTATAATGGCAACTACTGTTTTTTTGGAGGATTTGTTTACCCAGTAAAATGTTTTCAGTAAGGTCCCATAGATTAAAAATAAAATATTGATAAATGTAATTCATGGCTAATAAACGCAAATAAATCGAGATTTAAATAATTCATTTTAATGAACATACATGAATGAGTTTAGCTTGATCGATTTCAGTATACCATTTTGGTTTATCTGCGACTAATACTATATAACAAATAGTTAAAACAAATTAATCAATCTTCCGAATTTATATTAGCTCTTAATTATGAGCATTTTTATTGACTAAATCGGCGTTAATCAAATCTGTTGAATAAACCATATTCCTTCATATTTCAAATAAAATCACGTATTTTCACTTTTCTTGACAATATTTAATTGAAAAATCAATCTCACAACGTTAAACAAAACAGAATGAAGGGAAAAAAACCAGAATTAAATTATTTGGTTGATTGACTAGGAGGAAACAGAAACAATAATTGATGTGCTCATTCGAACATGAATGAAGATATGACGTACAGAACAATTGAAATGAAATTCAAACAAACATATTAAAAGCTACAAAAATAGATAAACAAACATATTCAATTTCCGAAAATTTTGAAATAAACGTAAAAATAATTCCAGGAGATTTACATTTAAAAAAAGAGTAAACCAACTATACTCAATTTAATTTTTTAAAAGACAATATATAGATTCGATTTGTAAGCTTTTTAAATAGTTTTAACTACTGTTCAGTTGAATGCATTAAACCGGTTAGCTCATAAAAATCGATCGAGACATAAACTGACTTATTGACTAACAGTGATATCCTGAGTATTACGGGGTTGTGAAAATTGTTAAGTTACACATTTTTGAAACCATGAATCGATCAGTGTTAGACCACCATGAGAAACCTGGAAGCACTGGACGGTCGTTTCGTCCTGGTATGGGACTCGTCAGCAGTGCGCATCCACGACTCCTGCACCTCACAGGATTCGTACCCGGGAACTTCGGCATTGTAGGCGAACGCCTTACCATCGGACCACTGGGCCGGCATCCGATGGTGTTAATGTCTAACTTTGATTGATCTACGGATTTTTGCGTGACCTCACCAATTTGTCTTTGGTAGTAGTTACTGCCTACACCC